ATCATTAATTTTATAGTACTATTCGCTCATCTTTGTTTTAGGAAGAATGAAACGTCATCTTTAAACATTTTAAATTGATTATTACGGAAGTATTCAGCAACGCATTTTTTTTTTCTCCTTTGTCTACATAGTGAAATGAAGAACAAAAATAAAGAAAAAGCACTTTTTCTCTCAATATGTTTTTAACTACGAAATTCTATACAGTAGAAGGAAATGCTATATGCAGTAGCAGCTCTCTAATGTCATTTCCTGACAAATTTTTCAAAAATGATAAATGAAATAAAAAATTTAAACAAAAGGACATTTAGTCAAGAGTAAGTAGTTTTATTTCTAATTAGTTTGACGATTGGTTAATATAAAGTTTGATATAGTTTTCTAGTAAATAAACTTGGCAGAATTTGTAGACTGCTAAAAACGAATCACATTAGCAATATTTGTCTAAGAAATGTAATTTTATCACTTTTTTTTAGAAAATTAAAGAATAAGAGTTAAAAATCTTATATAACTGGTCACAAATTTTGAAAAAGAACTAGAAAATGATATATTCAAATTATTTGATAATTAATTTATACAAAGATCTGAATTTTTTTATTTCTTTTATCGTTAAGTAAATACTACTACTGCTAAAGACAGATTAAACAAATGAATGAAGTTTGTCAAAAAGAACTGATCTGACATGATTTTTTTAAATAATCTTGATAATTCTGCCACATTTATCAAATGACTTTAAAGCATTCTCCATTTATACTTCTTTACGGTTTATTTCTTCAGAAATCCAATTGTACATTGTTTACATAATTAATATCTTCGACTTATGAGATGTTTAAGATATAAATAACAAATATAGGTTAGAATGACGTAAGAGTTCGGTGTTTTTCTCTTTGACCATTTTAAAGTTAAACATTTTCCCATAAAATAAAATCATATGGCTTTTTTGTAGTTCACACACTGAGATAGAATTCATCGAATAAGGTCGTTTCATGTCCTAAATCAAACTGGTACAGAAACATAAGATAAGATGAGAAAGTAAATAGAAAATAATAGTGACTATTTTTGTCATTTAAATGTTGCATAAGTCTACCGATTGACTTTAATAGAAAGTCTCATTCTATTGAGATCAATTATTCGGTGTTAAAATACAATCAAAAGAGATTAATCCGTGGTAAAGATAAAATAGGCACCTCTGTTTTCTGGTTGATGATTAATTTTTACGTTGATGGTGGAAAAATTAATTATCTATCTACCTTTGAAAACTTTCGTAGTCTGACATAGTTGGGGAAAGATGATTTTTGATTATAAAATAGTGGACATAAAGCATTATTTGTTAAAAATACTGCTGATTGATCAAGATGACTGGGGCATGATACGGCAACATCATCAACAAATATCCATGAGCATCGTCCCAGAACGTCGAAAACAGTGTAATTAATTGTCAATAAAATAACCATATAAGCCATTCAATATTAGTTAAACGGACATTTTTACATCACTTTTTATTGCAAAAAATTGCGATAATTTTTTCACCGTTTTTTTGCATTTAAACTGAAAACGTTTAATGCCTGAAAGTGGCAATTCTATTAAGACAAAAAAAATGAAGAATTTTTATTTATGATAATCATTTTAAGGCTGTTATTGCACTTGCACCATTGTGAGCCGTTAACAATTTATGGTTCGAGCATTTTCTGAAGTCAGTAATCTTACAAAGACTGAGTTCATAAACTCCAATAGTTTTGGTTCCTTAGAACCATGGCACCATCACTAGTGTTAGTCCCAGAACAAAGGCCAAGTTTCGATGACTTGTGTAATTGAAGAAGAGAAAAATTCTGAGTTCTGTTAAAAGAATCAGTATCATATTAATATTGGTGGAAATAGCGAAACAAAAGGGTGAATGATTCGTTAACAAATGATTAAAAACTGACATTTAAGTGCCAAAGTTAAATGCTACTTTTTTTCCTGATACTTTAACTGCTCAAAACGGCAAGCTAACAGGCAGTTAATGGCCGATGTGAATTTTAGTTTCAAGTACATGCGATTAAATGTATTTTTTTAGACCTTGATTCATGTTGAAGTAAAGGAGAAAAGACGGTGTTTGTTACCTTTTTGGGCAATTTTTTAACCGGTTAAAAGTCAGTTTTTTCGGTATAAAGTTAACAGGCTATGCATGAGTTATTAAATGACCTGGGTCATGTATTAACAAAGACAGTAGCAATATTAAAAGAGCAAGAGCGACCGGCTAGTGAACAATGATAGAAATCAGAACTTCGATCATTATTAAATTACTTCTTTCAATGTGATTATAATGATGATAGCAGTGATAAAACGTTACTGTATAATTTGTGAAATAGAAACATATTGAAGTTCAGCTAATAACTGCCACAAACTACTTTGGCGGTTTCATGTTAACGATAACCAGAGATGCTACATCCAAAAGCAGATGAAAAGTCCACACACAATAAGACGTTGTCGCCAACTGTGTAGCTTACTTAGATGAAGAGCTATGACTTCTACAGAGCGCGATGGACTTATATAACAGTAGACTTTTATGTAGACAGACGGTGTATAAAGAAAATTTAGAGAGATTTATTGGAATATAATTGTCCAAGAGCTACTATTCGGATAGAAGGTGATAGCACCGTGATATGCGTTATGAGCCATCTTTTAGTTCAAAGAAGGTTTAAAATTTGGAGCAAAAGGAAGAAATACTCTTACTGAGCCTGAGATCAATTTTGGTTCATGAATGGTAGATTGTCGGAGAAAGTCACTGTAAAAATTTTCTATCGGGTTTCGTCCATCGGGTCCTTACTCAGTTTAAGTCGAAGTCTACATCACATTATGATAGATACTTTCACTGTTCCTGTTCTTTGCTTTCCGCAATTATCCCATTAGCAAGACACCATTGACGAGCATATTTGCCAACATTTCCTCATACTGGTCAATTTAACTTGAGTTATAGTTGCCTGATTGTTACTAATGGCTGCTACTACCAAGCTCGACGTGGTTGAGTACTCTCAATCACATGCTCTACTATGAATAGAGACCCCTAGCTCGCAAATATTTTTATAGGTAGGGCACATATTGTTAGCAGCAGAAGAAGAATTAAAAATTTGAAAGCACATAAAAGGTCAAAAGTCAGAATTTTTCTGTCAAAATCGAGAACAAAAATTAAAGAAACATTTCAACAAAACTTTTGGGCTCTTTTCGGTTTATACTACTCTCTCTCTTTTTCGATACACCATTTCAAACAAAATTCTAATCCGTATGTTGCTAAATCTTCCTATTGGCCGTCTAGCGATCTTTTACGTTATAGATAGACGTACAGATTAATTTCAAATTTTGGACTAATTCTGACTTAAATATCCATAATATTTTTAATGTTCACTTTTTAGTTTTAAAGTAATTTACTGATGCATTTTTTCTATTTTTTCAACGATCTCAACAAAAGAAAAAGACTATATGTTAGAGAAAAGGCAAAAAAATTCAAATCTATGTACATAAATATGTGGACGTTAGAAAAAACTATCACATCTGTTTTAGCGCATAACTAAAGAATCCATATTACTTTAGCGGTATCTTTGAACATACTGATATGATTTCGTCTCATTCTTTTTTCTGAAATTTTTTCATCTAAGATATATATAGATAGATTCTAGACGAAAAACAAAAATATTGCCTCAATTTCTTCTTTTCGTTCTATTTCTTTTCATCGATATACTCTTGCTCTCTCATCGTTGGTTCTTGTTTTCCGATTTCGATAGAAAAAAAAGTGCAAAATTCACACACAATCATTGAACTAATCGAATAAACAAGAAAATAACGTAATTCATATATTATAAAGCAGAAATAATCATTCAGTTTCAAATAGTTTCATTAAAATGGTATTTATAACCCGAATCCTAATGACTTGTACCTTATAATGAACTACATGCATCAGCATCATCGATGGTATGTTAAAATTTTGTTATGTTTTTTTCAATAATTTCACACACATAACGGTGTTGGATGAACGTCATAGCTAGAAAAAGAGAACGGTAGGTGAGTTTAATCATCAAGAAGACTCAGCGAATACAAACCATCATTAATTGTGTAGATGAAAGTGACCTGTCTCTATGAAACAGTTTAGCTCGACCTTCAAAGCAGTGTGAGGGTCAGAATAAACAATTTATCCGAATGTTTCATACGTTTGTTTAAAAGGTTTACTGTGTAAGTTTATATACAGTTACATTTTCAAAAAACATTTTACTGTAGGAAAAACAAAAAATCTCACAAAGCAGGGTGAGGTTTTCTCTATCTACTTTCTAAGTCTCTTGTAACAGTTCACTTTTTCGTATGTCACGTTTCGGAGTCCTGTCAAGGAAGCTAAGAGACGTCTTATTTTGAATAGCAAACATTTTTCTTTAAAATGACATTTAGAAGAATGTGAATCTCTTATAGTGTTCATTTAATTGATATGTATGCCTTTGGTCGGAAACTCAAAACACCGAAAGGGAAAACACAGAATGTATAAGACCGAAACGAAGAATCTTGAAAACCTGAAATGTAGAAAGTGTAAAATATAGAAAATGCAGAATGTCGAACAGTAAAAACAACGGAAATGTGAGTTTTGAAATTGGACTCGTATCTCCAAAATGCTTCTTGCTCATAGTTCTATCGAAAGATCTACATATTTTTTGTGCACATTGCCATTTTGTTTAAATGGCGTGTTCGTAAAATTTACAGGTGATCATCAACATTTGCTAAGTCCAGCGAATATTGAAATTCGACAGTTTAACAAAAAGTGGAAACACGAACGCTCAATGAATTCATTGAAAGATGTAGAATTCCATTTTCGCTATTCGCTTCTCCAACAACAAGCAGCTAGCAAAACCAGAAAAAAGCATTTTGGGGATACCAGTCCGATTTCAAGCGGCTTCCGCTCATAGTTTAGTTGCTTTTAGCGTCCTACATTTTCGACATTTTTGTTTTCTACATATCAGATTTTCGAGATTCTTCGTTTCGATCGTATGCATTCTGCGTTTTCGCTTCCGATGTTTTGAGTTTTCAAGATTCGGCCATGTATTCGTTTAATTACGATTTTATAGAAAATGTTTTCTCTTCAAAATAAGATGTCTCTGAACTTTCCTGATAGGGCTACAATCTTGAAAAAACGTGACTAATGTACGAATTAGTGGACCTTTACATGGGCAGGTCAGAAAAGATATTAATTAAAAATTCTCAACTGCTGTGATCGATGTTGATTTACGAATTTAAGTGAAAAGGATCGTTTGCTTGTCGAGACAGTGTTTTTGTCTTATAAAAATGTTTTCGCACATACAGATAAAGAAAGGAAAAATAAGCTCTCTAGTTTAAATTCTTTGACGTTGATTGATTGTTCAACTTCAATAATCAATCAAAAGTTTCTAATCAGTTGTATGTGTTACTGAACATGAATATAAAGTGTGATTGTTTAAAAAACAACAACAACAAACGTCAAATTTATGTCTCATACAACTATACATTATGCTTTGTCCTAGATTGGCTCCTATTTTTCTGTTACATGTACATAAATAGATACATATTTCAAGTGTAAAAGAAGAAAGATATATCCTTATTACAATATGATTAATTCTGTTCTCCACCATCGAGAAAAAGAGATATTTACTGACACGTAAACTAGTCCAGTTCTTATTAATAAGATTGCACACTATTTAATGGTCAATGTTTGCGGACATTATAACTGTAGCATGTTGAGTAGGAATAGAGTATCATTTTTCTTCTAATTTGAAATATGTTCTCAAAAAAAGATTATCTAATATGCTTACTGAGCAAAAGTAGATAAAGTTATCGGTAATAATCAAGTGTAATGAGAAACTAGAAAAATAAAAATTTTAACTGTTTTTTGTTTTTGTCTGTTTATTGTAGGTTTGGTATGGCCACAACACCGTCAAAGTTAACTAGTAGTGAACAACCTGAATTACCATTGATTTCGTCAACACCAACAGCATCACATTCGGTTACGAATACTATCACTAATAATAATCATTTATCACTCACACCATCACCACCAAATGATAATCAACGACAAGAATTTTTATCGTTAATAAATAATACGGAAAATTGTGATATATTTTATAAATATATGAAAAATGAAAATTTAACCTATGTATTAGAATTTTATCTTGCATGCGATGGTTTAAGACATCATCTCGATGACGAAAGTAAAACAGGTGAAATAATTAATTTAATTAATACACATTATATTAAAAATAAAAGTTTATCAACAAGTTCGAAATTTCGATTATCCGATGATATTCTGAAATTAATTAAAACAAAACTCAATAGAAAAGAATATCATTTAAAATTTTACGATATTGCTCAAGAATATGTATTTAAATACATGTTACAAACATGTTATCCAAAATTTTTACTAGTACAACAGCAACAACAACAACCACCATTAAAATGTCAAACAAAATCACAAACTTCTACGCCAATACATAATAATTATTTAATAACAGGACAAAAAACTATAGTGTTTGATCAATTCAAACAACAACGATTCTATAACAATAACAATAAAAGTCAATTTTCCAGTCCGATGATAACACCATCTATTCTAAAGTAAGTACTGATTATAGATGTCGACAGATACTTATTTCGATCGTGGATAGTGCATTTCAAAAAGTCAATTGTTTTTTATTCGAAACAAGAATATAATTAAATTACATGTGTGTCATAGACAATAAAAATAGCTAAAATATAAATATCTCTCTATTGATAAATTAAAAATCAAATATATGCAAAAATAAGGTGGCAATAAACAATTAGAAACCATTTGTGAAAAACACAATTATGCATACAAATGAGTTTAAATTGTTTGTAACTTTATTGAATTGTCAAGGATGATTACTTTTGCTGGTTAGATGTGTAAAAATATGTGATTGATTTGAAAATGTGTATAAATATATTCATTCTCTTTTCTTAAGTGATCTTTACCACAATAATGACTACATCTCACATATTCATACAATTAGATAAGAATAGAAAATAAATTTAATAGAGGCTTTTCAGTAGCAGAAAATTTTGTGACTAATATGCGGACTATTTATTAGATTTACGATGATAAAAATCGTCTTGGATAGTGACTTGTCTTCTGGTGTTCTTGCTAGCTGTTGACTCACTCATTAGACATTCCAAAAGGGTAGATGATAAATCTTTTACATATCTTGAGACTCCGACAATTTGAGAATGTATTTTATCATTTTAGTGCATCGACCTCAAGCAATGCAAACAGAAGCGTTATTACTCAATTTTTCGATGCTAAGTGAGTAAGAAATGTTCTTAGTATGCATGTCACATGCCTTTTCTTTTTGTATTATTATCATTCACATAGCCAATTAGCCAATTTAACTTTTGTGTTATTGAGTTCGCATATCTAATCATAGATTAATCACACACACTTTCATAAAAGAGAAACATTTTCACGTCTATCAGTTTTGTTTGATCCTGTGCCGATTCCTTTCTCTGTTTTCCGCTAAAAAAAATTTTCTCCATGTTTGAAATTTTAACACCATTACTTTTTTTCTTCTTGTTCTTCATGATAGCTCTATTAGAAATAGGTGTTAGATTGATTATACGCCATCATCTCTTGGTTCTTTGGTGTGTGCGTATGTGTTTTCTTTTTGTCATTGTGGAAAAGAAGTGACACTTGTTGGTTTGCCTCGAACTACAACTACCATATGGTTGAATGAGTAAATTCTAATTCTGGGCGTGTTATACCTCGAAAATGTGATAATAGGAAAATGGACAAAAGTGACCATACTACATTCAGTGAAATATATCCTCGAGAGAAAATTCCAACAAAGATAAAAAATTATTAAACATTTTTCTTCGTCAAGTATTATGTCGTGTTAAGTATCAGTGATAGCCAAAAATATTTTATATTCAAAAACATACTACAGAATTATTGCTGTGGGCTAATAGTATTAGTATAGCTGTGCTAGAATCGAATTTAGTCGACACCAGAGATATTAAACCAACCGTATCACATCTAATGTTAGTTCTATTTGTAACTCTAGTGGCTTATAAGTTTTATTCGCTTCTTGTCTGCGGACACTGAATGCTAGTCTTCTATCAATATGATATAAAACGAAATGATAGTAGTGCAGAAGAAATCTGTTGAATCTAAATCCCACGGCTGAGTCTGTCGATAATATGCAGAATTTCCATTTTATTGAATATTAATTTTTCTTTGGATATTTATTGTTTAAATAGAGGCAGATTTTATCCACTCACTGTTATATGTTGCATCATCTTTTTCTCTTATTAGAGCTCCATATAAAATGAGCTATCTATTTTGAGTGTTCTCTGTTTCCCACCTAAGACGAACTGTCTTTCTTCAATCTATGATGCTATGGTACACTAAAAAACGATACTCTATGTATATTAGTCGTTCAATTTTTTTTCTTTCTTCGGATTTATTCAGTTGCGGTACTGTTTCTTTGTTCTTTAAACTTCAAACAATCGGCATTATTTGATCACTACAACTTCTAACGTTAATCGGTCAGTTTGATCTTGTCAACATGAATCAAATTCAATTAGATTATATTATTGTGCCGCGTTGTTAAAAAGCAGACAATCAAAAAAAAAAAGAAGGAAACTAAATTCATTTTTCTCTCTTTCACCTCATTTCTGTTCCTCTCCCGAACAAAAAACGACAAATAATCTTTAGTAATTTTACCATAAGTTCTATTGTTTTATACTCAGAAAACGTTCAAAATATGATGGTACTATTAGCAAGATATCCATATCAGGAACATTTCATTTCGTAAGTTATTACTTTTTTTCGCTCTTCTACAGTATAGACAAGTTAGTTTTGATTTCATGACTGACTGTATTCGTGGCTCTTGTTCTTCAATTGTTTATACTTCTTCCACCCGAACAGGCAATTGCATGTATTTAGCGTGTTCATCCAATTTTTTTATTATCAAAGTAATCTATTAAATAATTATCGTCTGTCTGGAAAGTTTTCTTATACAATCATAAAAAAAAAAAAGGATGGTTGCGTTAATTTTTCTCGACGTTAGTATGTATAGATATACGGTATTTTTAATTGAAAAAAAAAAATAATAGAAGGCAGTTTTTCTTTTTCCTTATGCAAATGTTTCCGTCGACATGGTTTTTTTATCTAATAAATGTTCAAAAAAAGTGAAAGAAAATTCTTCTCCCTATAGTTTAATTGAGGTGTCTATTTAGATGATTACACTACATACACTAACACTTTTACATACTGTTAAAGATATTTTTTTTAGTCTGACTGAATATGCATGCTCGTAAGGATAAAAAACGTTGTGGATTAAAATCTAATAATAAAAACTTTCGTATAAATTTGCGAGTGTATTTAAACTTGAAAATTACACGGTAGTTTAACTAAAATATTTATATTTTTTAATAGTTAAATATAACAAGTTTTTTTTCTTTTTTTAGTTCATTAGCGCCAACGAATGTGAATATTGAAAATGGAATTGATTTGAACACATCAAAAACTATACCAGTAAGGTTAAATATGATTATTTTTATAGTTTCTCGATATATTTTCAAAAATGTTACTCTACACTGTAGTATGTTAAGTCTCTATTAACCTTTTTTTTGTTCTTTTTTTAGCGTACATCAAAAATTACTAAACATCAACAAGAAAAATATAGTTTAGCAGAACGTAATCCAGGTGCATTTTTTGAAGAAGTAAAGAGAAGATTATTGCACGTGTTAGCTGAACAAGAAAAACGAAATTCTCTAATTACAACAACAACAACAGATATGAGATTATCACAATCATTAAATATAAAAAATAAGGTAATACAAGAAATTTTCGAATAAAACACCTAAAAATTATCAAATTCTCTTTTATTTTCAGTCATTTTCTTTCAATGATCGAACAAAAGTGTGTACAACAATGATTGATGATGATTCGTTAGCTGTTATTGATAATCAGATTAATCGTACGATACCTGATGCTGATAATATTTTATTTAGTGAAAATAATAATCATACACGATTAAATGTAAATAGTACAGTATATCCTCGACAACGATATCGTCAACGTAATATAGACGATTCAATAATAAACACAACAAAAGTATTGGATTCAAATAATTCATTCCAAAAACCATTGACAAGAACAAGTGGATATAAACGAAATTCTGTACATGAACGATCAACACCATATAATATGGGATGTTCAACGTTAAGAAGTTTTACAACATCTGATTCTGGCGTCTCAACGGGTGGATCAGAAAAGTAAATTTTGCTTAAGTTCTATATAGGCTATTTATAAATGTAACGATGCTTTTTGTTTTATAGAAATTACGACATGTTTTTATCAGTGGCAACGTCCTCATCGATAGGTGCCACACCTTTTGAAACAACACAACCACCCACGCCATCAATTACGTCAGTTAAAAGGTAAAGTACATGTTGTCAACCTCTCTGTTATGTGTTAACCATAAATGTTCTTAATTATGTTTAGAAGAAATATCATGGCAGAATCGATCGGTGTTGTATGTTATCCATCTTTAGACTCAAAAAGACCAATTATGTCGTTTATAAAATTTCAACAACATTTTAATGACCAAATCACATTTAAGGAGTTTAAAGAATTGTTCAAGAGGGCAGATACTCACAGGTAAGATTGTGTGTAGAAGAGATGATTGTCTATTTATGAGATTCTAAGTAATATATTTATATTTGTTTAGATGTTTTTTCAAAACAACGTGTACAGCCGACATTAATATTGAAAAATTTGTATTTTTAGAATTAACAAGTGATGATGATATAGTACCATTTTTTGATGGTAAAATAATTTTGCAATTGGACAAAATTAATTAAAATGTACTGTGTTTTGTTCTTTTCTTTAATTTATGATAATCGAGGTCAACGTTTTTCCATAGTGAACGTCAGATAATTGATTTTTTATTCCAATACATAGCTTCTTTAATCTAGGAATGATATTTGAGTCAGATAGATATCAATATTATCATATTTTTCGATATTTGATATTTATCACATTTATCAACGTGTTATAAGAGAGTATTTTTTTTCTTATATTCATTGCTTGTTGTTATCGTTTATTTTTTTCTATATTTCTTATGATTATGGAAAATATTTATATAACAGAGAATCTTTATGTTCAGTGCCTTTTTTGTTTCTCTCTTTTACAAAGTATATATAAAACAAGATTAAAAGTAAAATACATAAAACTCGACGTTCATAACTTCAAAAGTCAAGCGAAGAGAAGAGACTATTATAAATATTTATTTCACAAAAAAGTAAGAGAACAACAATGTATAGATGTAAAAAAAGTCATTTTTGAACAGACTCTATTAATTACATGTTTATTTTAAACATTCTGCTGGAATGTACTCTATAATTTACCTGAACTATTTTATGAGAACAATGAAAATATTAACCAAAAAAATGAAGAACTAATTAGAGAAATAAAAAGACTATATATGCACTATGTAATAATAGATGCATAATGTGAATAATGATGAGATTTTTTGATTAACATTAAAGAAAATAAATAATACATTAGAGTTCATTGAGAGAATATATCTAATTGCACTTAAAATCAGAATAAAAATTAAGGATATCAAATTATCAAGTTATGCTTGTTCAATTTAAGCGCAGCAATCTGCCTTTTTTTGTGGATACTTTCCATCTGACTGTCCGATGCCTATCAAAGAAGAAGAAACAAAATTAAAGGCTGCCAACAAGTTACTTTCTTATTGTTAGCAATCTAAGAAAATAATGTGTATATTGAAGCTTATCATTATTTCTTGTTTTCAGAAGTAGGTAACGTATTCAGAAGAATCTCTAATTTTTGTGTATACAGATTATGAATACTTCGTTATGTGGTGCTAAATTTTTATGTAAACGCGAGTATGAAAAACAAATCCTCAATTTCTTTTTACCATTGGTATGTAACTCTATGCCCATTTTATGTCGCTCTATGGAAGATTTTGGCTTTAGTTGTTGGTTTATCATTGTTAGATAACTAATACATGCAACACGTTGAAAAAACTCTTGAATTTGATAGCCTGAAACAGATGATATATAACTACATTTTATAATGATAGTGAAAAATATGTATAGACCTGTCAGTGATGAAACTGGCCAATATTCCGCTTGAAGACGTTTTGCAAATTTCATTGCTTCTTGTTCGTTTAATTCGTAGAGTGAATCATCTATCTAAAATAAGAAAGATTTGTAATGTTTGTCTATGAGAGTAAGAATGAAATATTAAACGTACCAATAAATCACGTTTAGCGCCAACAAGAAATACAATAGGTTTTTCAGAACTTGCGTCTACTGCTTCTTGAATCCAAAGTTCGGTATTTTTTAATGATTGTAAATCAGTCAGATCAAACACTGCAATGATTACATGTGCACCACGATAATAGGCAGCTAAAAATAGAACATATGTTTTTTAAAAATGGTGTAAACAAAGTTGATCTTAGCTTTCTGACCTGCAATACATTTGAAACGTTCCTGACCCGCAGTATCCCATCTAAATGTAGTTAGTTTTTCTTAAGATGATTATATTGAGAAAAATTAAGATTTTTTTGTCCTACATACACCTGTAGCGTTACTGGTATGCCCAATAATAAAAATCGTTCTACTTCAAAATCAACACCAATAGTGGCTTTATAATTTCGGTTGAATGTATTGTGACAAAAACTATTAGAGTGAGAAATAAATTAATAATAGATTATGTTGATCATCTCAAATCTCACCGATTAACAAGTGATGACTTCCCAACTGCCACATCACCTACTAATACTAATTTGCAAATAACATTTCTATAGATAAAAAAATAGGTTCTGTCAAATTCTGAATTTTTACAATTTAGTTAGTCAAGTTATTTAGTCTTACTTTGGATTTTGTCGTTGTTCTAATGCGTGATTGACGATAAAATGGTCAAACTCGATGTAATGAAAAGGCGAGGCATCTTGATGGTATGCCTGGAAAAACAAGAAGAGAACAACATTGTATCTTGAGAATCGTAGGATATATATACGTACTGGAACAAATTTTTCAATCGTTCTGTCTTTCGATATTCCCTGAGTCAGAGTTGAAATTGGCATCTAGAAAGAAGAGAAGGGAATAAGACTAGAGGTGTGAACCGGTTGGGAATACATCGATGATTGACTAGAAAATTTCCTGTCAATATAAGAGACTCCGCTAATCGGCTTATACCTCTGAATGAACATATTGATTTTTCTAGACTGAATAAAAGTTTCTACGATAAATAACTGTAGTTCTTTTAGAACAAATTTTGCTGTCTATTATCTAACTAAAAGAGCAACAACTAGCTCTGGCAATAGCAGAGCTGGGCAAAGTCAGGACTTTTTCAAGTCTTAAGTCAACGAAAAGATTCTGTAAGTCAGTCAAGTCAAGTCAGAGTCATTAAAAATTTTTGTCAAGTCAATTTTGACTTGCCCAGTTCTGGGCAATAGCGATCTGCATCAGACAGACTTGTCCATGGATAAATAGTCAAGACTCACGAGATCCTGTGGGAATCAGGTGAGACTTTCAAGCAGCGATGCATCCAGGATTCCAGTAAGGGAGTGGGCAAAACCTTTTTTTGGCAAAAGAAAAAAGTTCTTGTGTGGTGTTTTTCTTTTCGATTTCAATCAAAATTGTTTTTTCTACTTTCAATTAAAGAAAACGAAATTTCTAAGGGGTCTACCATGGCCCACCCTTGGCCTAGTACTGGGTACGTCGCTTCTTTCAAGAGACTCCTGAGGACTCCCGCGGGACTCGAAAGTCTTCAAACTCCCACCGGACTCCTACAGGATCCTGTGACAGGAAAGCTATGGAAGGCTTGTGGAGGTCTCGATTAGGGCTTCGGTTTCAGGGTGTTAGGTATAGACATGACAGGCATAAAAAAGTTTAAAGATCTTTTGAAAATGGAAAGAAATAAGTTTATGCAAGAAAATATGTTTTTAATGTATATTTGTTGTTTACATATCCTACTTTTTAGAATATTGTTATCTATAAAATGTTTTTCTAGAATTTTTGAAAAAAATTAGCCATTTCACGGACAAAAAAAGCTGTCCATGCAAATCTCTATTCAACAGATTAACTGATAATTGTAAAAATGGAAGTCATATATTCAGACACTATTTTTTTGAAGAAGTTTGAAGTTCTTCTTTTTAGAAATAATTTGGATATATTATGTTACTATCGATTTGAAAAATAGAGTATCCATGAATTTCGAAGAAATCTTACTTTTTACTGTTCAATCAAACTAATATTCTCCATTATGAAAAACATATTTTATACGCTTGCTAACGGACTCTATTAGGATTTGATCAACATGTGTATAATTGATATGAAATTTTTTTCTAGACGCTAACGACACCTACAAAGGACGGATTAATTTTTTTTTTCGAAATAGATACTCCCAAAATATCCGATCATTTAAGAATTAACAAGATTGCTGATGAAAGTATTATTGAAACTGTAAGTCTATTAAAAATCTTAAGGTGGACAACATGCAGACATGTTCGATCATTATTATCAAGCATGACATTTATTATCACTACCGTAGTAGTGTTGTATGTGTGAATACTTCTAATATTTCGAATAAATGTCATTATTGATAGTTGTCTTGCGGCGTAAAAAGCAATTTATATTTTTGGACGTATACGAGAATAGGTTTACGGTTAACTTATCCAAACAATTATTATAGTTCTACTTTTGTCCTTGTCTGATGAAGTTTGTCTTGATATCTCTGCTGTTTTAATGTCATGAATCAATTGTTATAAATTGGCCAAAACTCATCTATTATACCTGAAAAACGGAATTAAAATACAAATAGTGCTTATACTTTATAAGCTGTCGCCGTTTGTTGATAACTAGGCATAGATTAGATCTCTAACTATAATCTGCGTTATTTGACGCTCATCAAGTAAATATAATATTTGATTCACCTCAGCAATAAATTTATTATAATTTTGAATATTTTTCGAAAAGTCACTGATGAATATACGAGGTTAATATAATTTAGAACGAATAATATTTACTCATCCAGTCATTTGACAAAAAATCTACTCTCATGTAGATTAGTGAAAGTATATATTGCTGAATAAACAATGAATAAATGTCGTCTAACGAGAAAAGGTCTCAAGTGTTACTCTCACTTTTCAATGGGACATATCCTAATTTGTAGAGCTCGGTGACCTGATTACGATGGCACAAAGCATTTTTCCCCATGGCTCTTGAAGACCCGAGTTTCTGAACCACCAGTTTTTCAGGAACTCTAAAAAATAATCGAAACCGTCTTTTAATGAGCCATGATTATAGCCCGCAAATTTCTAATTAGAATGAAACATCTCCCAGCTCTACATGACCTTTCTTTGCAAAGTTATAGATCTTACAACAAAAGCCCTAAATGTTCATTATCAGCTCAAAGCTACAGAAATAAGAAGAAATTAATTTCGGGCTCTTCTTGTAAATTCTATAACTTTGCAAAGAAAGATCATGTAGAGGTGGGAGATGTCTCATTCTGATCAGAAATGTGCGCGCTATAATTATGCCTTGTTAAGAGAAGTTTTGGTAATTTTTTGGAGTTTCTAAAAAACTGGTTTTCCAGAAAATTGGGTCAAGAGCCATGGGGGAAATTCTTTATGCCATCGTAATGAGCTCGTCGAGCTCTACAAATTAGGATATGTCCCACTGAAAAGTGAGAGTAACACTTGGGATCTTCTCTCGTAAGTAAATCGATGATCATTTTCTCATTCCAAGAATTTTGAAAGAATAAACTGGATTATAGAATGTTTTTCTTGTATGTATCACTCAACACTGTTAATCTATATTCAATATCTGATGAAAGTTTAATTGTTATTTATTTGTAAACTCAGAATGATAATTGATGAAAATAAAATGTCTATTTTTTTCTATTTAACGCAAAAGTTAATCATCACTCGCTATCCAAGGTAGATATTTCTATGGCAGCAGATGTATAATTTCTTAGAGTCTTTACTTAATATAGAACCAGACTTTTCTTTTTGTCATATAATAAATAAAGTTGATGTGCAGTTTCTTTAACATAATGTCAACAAATGTAGTACATAACTCGTACAATTATAAGTCGTTTTTTTCATAATTAATTCGACACATTTATACTATTAAAAGTTCGCCTATAAATATAGAACTATTCTTAACTTTTTTTATCTTTATTCTCGGTTTTGTTTAACATAGAGTACACTAGGATAGTTGATGATCATGGATACATTATGATCATTACGTTTTGTATTATTCCGTCTTGCGAGCAGACGCGGCCTATTTCCCTGTTAGCAACACATTCAAAAATTTATGAGAAAATCATGCTTGACAGAGTGAAAAAGTGGGCAGATTCAAATAATATTATTCCTCCTGAGTAGTCCGGTTTTAGGCAAAACTGTCTGCTTCAAACCAGAATTCTCTCTATGCACCAAGAAATCCAAAACAATTTAGCAGGTAACATCTCAACCCTAGCTGTGTACTTTGATTACAAAAAAGCATATGATATGGTGTGGCATGTAGCACTTATAGTTAAGCTCTTCAGATTAGGCATGCCACCGTATCTATTAAAGTTGATTTTATTCTGGCTGCAAGGGAGAAAAGCCTATGTGGTTTTAAGTGAGTTTACGTCGAAAATTTTTGAGTTACATTAGGGTCTACCTCAAGGTAGCTCACTTACGAGGGAGGTCTACCAACTTATAAATCGTTTTCCAGTCAAAACCTAATTGACTATAGGTAATCAACCATACTGATTCCGAATATCATCATGACTGCTGCTGCTAGGTTTTCAAAGATCGGTTTTATGGAAAACCAGTTTTTTAGAAACTTTAAAAAATAACCAAAACCTTTTCTTAATGCTGCATGATTGTAGCCCGCACATTTCTGATTAAAATGAGACGTTCCCCAGCTCTACACGGCCTTTCTTTGCAAAGTTATAGAATTTACAAGAAGCCATAAATGCTTCTTGTCAGCTCAAAGCTACAGAAATAAGAAATTAATGTAGGCTTTTCTTGTAAATTCTATAAAAAGGTCGTGTGGAGCTGGGGAACGTCTCATTTTAATCAGAAATGTGCGGGCTACAATCATGCAGCATTAAGAAAAGGTTTTGGTTATTTTTTAAAGTTTCTAAAAAACTGGTTTCCCATAAAACCGATCTTTGAAGACCTAGCAGCAGCAGTCATGATGATATTCGGAATCAGCATGGTTGATTACCTATAGTCAATTAGGTTTTGACTGGAAAACGATTTATAAGTTGGTGGATCTCCCTCGTTAGTCCATTTCTTTTTATTATCTTTCATTCAGATTTAGTGTTAAGAGTTGAAGCAAACGCAGCTCAGATTTTTTGCTGATAATCTAGCAGTCTCAATTTCGCCCCCAGTTAACGTCGATCTGCGTGCAATGTTAGTTTATTTAAGTAAAGAGGGCTCGAAAGTATGTGAGCGAGTACACGAATGTTCTGTCCTTTGGAAACAACCAATCAATCTCACTAAAACAGTTGGACAGTTATTTTATTTTCAAGTAATTAAACCGACATTGGAAATTAATTTCTATGGATGGAAGTTAGAATTGGTTTCAGAATTTAAATATCTCAGGTTTATTTTGACGAGTAAACTCTCCCTGAAACATACGGTTTTAAAATGCTTACTAAATATAGAAAAATCGTATGTAAAATTGAGATGGTTAAAAAGAAACAGACGGATATCAACCAATGTGCTACGTCTCTGTTTTTTTGCGTATTCGTTTCCCTTTTTCATTTGGATATTCCCCTTTTTCCCACTACTACCTGGCACTCAACAAGAATTGTTTTATAGAAAATATCGTGTAGAACTCCGCATTATTCATAGATGTTATTCTGTAGAAAAGGACGATCTTTTTAAAGTAGTAAACGAACCAACTCTGGACGCTTATGTCAAAAGGTATCTGTCTCGTAGACCGATCTGTCCTCGTTCCTCTTTTATAATGACATATTTTTCTGGGAAAATTTCCAAGAAAGTAAAGTTGGCAAATATGGTCAACTCTTTCATATGAAACGTGTAAAAAATATGTTAAATAATCATGTTTCTTCTATTGTTAAATGGTTAGATTTTTTAGAGAAGTAAGTAACCGAGGCTGCCCTTATGTATGTGTCTGTGATATGCTTTTCTTGTTTTATTTTTTGTATTCTACCTGTTTTACAACCTATGTTCATATACAAGTTTAGAATGATATTTAAAATTATTACTCTCTGTTGCTGTTGTTGTTCTTTTTTGTTTTCGTAAACTAGGTTCTACTACTCTGTGCTGACGATGTATATGTTTATTTATCTATTTTACAAGCGCTCCAGAGCGTAGTAATAAAGATCGCATAATCGAAAAAAATTACGTTTTGTATTCATTTTTTATTAGACGTTAGTATAGGTCAGGTAATAACGAAGTAATGTCATGACATCAAATAAATAAACAATAACTTTACAGCTGTAAGCTATTCTGTCATTATAGTGTTTTTCAAATCCTAATCTTATTAGCGTTAGAAACATATACAAAATTTTCCCTAGAACCAAAATTATTTCCAGTAGTAAGTAACAATAATCATCGTGCTGTTTAATTAATCTATTTTTTCGTACGTGACAGAAAATATGACTAATTCTCTGCTGATTAATCTGTGACTAACACGTATGCACACGCATCCTAAAAAAATAATCAATGAGAAAAACATCATGTAATACTCGTCTCTAATGAACTGCCGACAACAAGTGACAAACAAAAGTAGCAACTATCTCATAAGATAGATTATATTTACCATATCGATTTACTTATATTGTACAAAACACGTCATTATCAATATCATGAGCAATCATCATATTGTCTTTCGAATTTAGTCCAGAAACTTAAAAAGAATTTGAGCTTTTCTAATTTTTTGAGAAGTACGAGGCGATTTAAATTGCACATGATGCCCTTGTGATACAATTTATGCATTATTTGTAATATTTCAAATACAGTTCATGAATAACTGTATTTTAGACTATTGTGATGGCCGCGTACGTTTAGTATGAGTACGATGATACTTTGTCTTCGTATAGTATGATATAATGATACAACATTTACATATCAAACATGAACTTAGATTATACACGGTCAATGTTTTTTACGTAAATACTATTAGTAGTGATAATATATGTATACTCGAACTAAAAAACAAAACTGAAATACGTAACAAGAACATAGAAAAGTTGAGTGTGTCATAACAGGATGCATTTACCGCGAGAGCGAAACCCTCTTCCCAATCTAAAGTTGGGAAAGTTCATTTCATTTCAGCAAACAAGATTTCCACTACATCTTGCTACTCTAGTTTCAAATTGTCATTCAGACAAAATTCAATGGAAGTGCAAAGTTATTCGGATGAGAAATAGTTTTACGGTATAAAATAACTTTCAGAATAATAATATATTTAATGATAATCATTTTGACATGAAGATCTTTTTAAGACAATCGAACTGAATTTGATTCCTTCCTAGGAGAGAGGAAAAGATATAGAAACTGTACGAATGGTGTTGATCAATGGCAATTCTTTATTGTTTACTATAGAAAATCATATACAAGAGACCTTATATGTTTATTTAAGTGTAAAAGTTATTCTAGCGTACGTGAGTGAGAGCATTTATCCAAGGAAATTTGAATAATGCAATTAATTGATGTGTATTATTCAAACGTGGCGCTTCAATGAACAACAAGGAAAAATTGGTATCACCGTTAATTTTCGCTTATTAGAAGCATTTCTTACAAATTTTATGACGAATAACTAACTGAGCAAGAATTAATTAATGATATACTGTTAATGGCTAAAATATTTCATCACTTCATTACAGATAATGAAAATCTAATATGTTGAAGGAAGAATCTTCCTTATAAAAATTTTCTACAGTTTACGGCCGATTTGCTTGAAAAAGTTATAAAATGACATGTAAATGCATTATGATAAAACTCTTATTAGCTCAAAAATGCTCATTCGCATTCCATGAAATAATTTGAAGCCACTAACAATCGTTGGAGCGCGTTAAATATGAAAATCATGAAATTCATATTTAACGCGTTCCAACGATTGTTAGTCGCTTCAAATTATGTCATGGCTTAGAAACTATAAGTGTGGAAAAAGTGAAATAATGTTGTTTATAAGGTGCTCGTTTCTCACATTTGGTTGAATAGCTGTACACCTGCGGTTAGTTTCAAATGAATCCAAACACCAGAGACAGGTCTAATTTGTGAACATCTGCAATTACATACTATCTAGGTGTTCAGATATTCTGATATTTAAATGTTTAAATATTAAGATCTTCAGGTATCTTCTCGTTTTCTTTCAAGATGGCGAATATCAGAGAGGAGCTCACTCTCATCAAATTTTCCAAAAATCATAATTGTGAAAATCCGACCCTACCGAAACACTCTAAACACAGTCATCCAAAATGTCTTTCTCAGTTCTTTTTTATTTATTTCTGGCACGCATTTTATCATGAATTGCGTCGATCTTCTCTAATCAACTGTATGTTCCTCAGAAACGAGGGCAAACCGGCAGAAACCTATCGAAGGATTTCTTTCTTTCTTTACCAACTTGAAACAAAAAAAACTGTTAAATTACACAGAACTCAAATTTGTACACTTTACTAAAGTGGACATCCTGTTTTGAGAAACGAGTAGCACGAACTGTCAAGGTGCCTCTAAAAAATCGTTTAAAAACTCATAATAATCTAATTCTTTGGCCAAAGCGATACTTATTCTGAAAGAGGACACTTCAGGCTGTTCAACGATACAGACAACTCGACTTTTCCAGAGGGAGCCCTCTTAAATAACATTCAACGGCTGTAAAAATGTAATACATGGTTAGCTTTAATTCACTTAATGTTTGAACGCATGATTTAAGTTGGAGAAGAGGAGGATGAAAAGAAATTTTGTAAAAATGATAGTTACTGATTTATATCTCAAAGTAGATTCCAATTGACAAGATGAAAATACTAAAGACTGATTCTATAAATAAACATTCCAATTGACGAAAGAAAATGATATTGATTTAGTATTATAATGAATTTTGAAAACATTCACAAAAACATTTTGTGAACTTAATATAAACAATGGAAACAGATTTTAACCTGTTTATTATTAATTGAATGGAATAAATTTAATAAACAATGGTCAGTTCAAGTCAAAAGACAATGATGTTTTCATCGTTTATCATCGTTTTTCACATACGTTAGCTGTCAAATGACAGAAAGGAGAAAAAAAATGTAAGCTATTTTATGTTTCTTTAAAACAAAAGAAAAGGAACAACCAACAAAAACAATCGATATCTTTAGAAGGTTGAAAGGCAGAAGACGAGTACTGTTCGTTACGAACACAAAAAGAACAAGCAACAAAAATTTATGAGAGTTGCAAAACTGTGTGTGTTCGTTGTAAATAAATGGCATCTAGTTATTATTCTATAAGCGTTTTTAAGAGTTATACACTATGTACAATAAACTTATCACAGCGTATACGTATTGCAATACGAAAGTCATGGTATAATAATAATAATAAAATTTTTAATATCCTGGAGTGAAACAGTTGAAATTTGGCCTTGTTTATGGTCTTTGAGCTATACTATTGATGATATATAATTTAAGATCACATGGCGTCACGTTCGTTTGAGTCTTCCAGAACAGGCGGTATTCGTGGAGCCATCATTCCACCAATAAATGGTTGCATTGGAGTGTCAACACTACTCTGACGTCTGACATAAAATGGCGTGGTTTGTGTATGTGGATTTTTTGATTCTATAATTGAAAATAGAAATAACAAGTTATTTGTTTAACAAGATGTTTTCGTTTTTCAACGCAAACAATTCAATTAGCTCCTTTAAAGTAAATCTATTTCTACACCCTATCGTTCTTATTAGATAAAGATAATGCGCTCGATTTTAGGATAGAGCTAAATAAAACAAGTAAGATAATGTTACTTGTTTAAAATGACTTTACATCTTTCTTCTGGACAGACGGGTTTTTTAAGCATCTTCTTTGTGTTTTATTTGAAACAGACAGTTCTCATAAAATAATACAAGCGTGCTGCTTTCTTGCATGGAAGATAAAAAGAAATTTACTCATATGTAAGCAAATACAATCAACAAATATAATATTGAGGAAGTGAGTCTAGAGAGAAGCACACACGTAAGCAGCAATCATTTTTCAAAGTACTAAAATGTTGATTCAAATATGTGATTCAAGTCTTTTACGTTTCTACCCTATATAAATTTCTTTTATCGGCACTTGTACCGGATTAGTGCACACCAGTGCGGAATGATATAACGATCAAGTGTGCATTGGTGCCAAACTATTAAATTTTTCAGTGCAATATAAATGCCGAGAATATAGTAATAAAATTTTCAAATTTCTCATTAATGTGCATCAGTGCAAGAAAAATCTATTACGCTGATACCGGTCCACTCATGCTAAATTTTGTTTACAATCACCTTTTTGCTTTGTTAACGACCGCGTATTTAAACACTACAGTATACTTTTAGTATTTCGAATGTCGTTTTTGACTTCATCTTTTCCTTCTCATAAGAGAAGTACCATATGATTATGGAATGGCAATATGGAACTGATACGTACGTATATCAGCGCCGCACTATAATTAATACAAAATTAAGTAAAAGCAAAAGTAATAAGAAGTAATTACTGATTAGATAAATAACAGTGTCTCTCTCACATTCTTTTTGGCGATACAGCATTAGGTAATACGGCATCGGCATGCTACACTGAATAATATCGAGGCATCATCGTCTTTAAAGTAAACAATCGGCATTGTTTGGCATCGTTCGGGCACTGGTGCGCATCGATCTTTGACGATGTCAGTCACACATGGCATGGTATGAGCACCGATGCACATCGCCGATGCCAATCATTTTTTTTTTGCGAGCTGCATCGATCTTCTTCTTTTTAGATAGACTCCAAAATTCCGAGAAGAACCTTATCTTATGCAGTTACTTTTTTTTACTGAAAACACGAATATATGATTTATTTGATGGAAATATAATTCAAGGACGGAATGAGAATAGATCTGTTCAAAAACTCAGATATCCAGTAAAAAATCTAAATATCTCAAAGGTAGCATCTTGTTGAAAAACAATATAAGACAATATGATAGGTTATGATCTCAAAAACGCTTGAGTAGTTATCAGAAAAGACGCTTATTATTCGTGAATAAAACATTTTCACATTAAAAAAGAAGAAGAACATATTATAATTATGTGTGTAGAATTATACGATATCTATTGCTCTTCCTATAAAAAGAAAAGAAAGATTAGATATAATTCATTGTGATTATTGATAGAAAATGTCAATCAAATAAAACAAGGACTGCTGCTTGTTTGCGTTCTGTTTACTTCTGTATCTTATCATAGGAATTGAGATGGGCAGAAACACACTGTTGAACAGAGACATTACTGTCATTTGTTATAAATCAGACAGCATGGAATATTTATCTAATGCTTGTTCATAAACATGATATTTACTATCATCAGTAATAGATTGAGAAAAAAATAAAAATAAATTCAATGTCAAGAGTCTTCATTATTTATATAGAATTAAAAAGATTGATACTTAGTTCTTAGTTTGTTAAAAATTGTGTAACAATAAACGATAAAGTTGATTTCCGGTTAAGAATTATTCTATACTGTATAGAAAATAAACTATTTTTTCCTTTTCTTTATAATATTAAATTGATAATAAAATCATTGAAATCAATTGTCTGTCTATTTCATAAACGTATAGCTTCAAGGCTTCTATATACAAGTTATATTTAAAAAACAATAACAAAGAACAGAATCCATTAGAAAATAAAAATAAAACAAAAACATTTTGTCTAGAGTAACCAGAAAAAATATATTGGAATATCCGTTGAGAAATTTTAAATTAAAATAAATATCTGCAAGGTATTGTATGTGATAATAATTATTGTGATAAAAAAAAAAAAGAATAAATGTGTGTATATAGTTATTATTAGTTATCTAAATAGAGCATGTCCTATACACTCTCATAAGCTGTGTATATTCTTGTGAAATATGTTACTCAAAGATTCTTTGCTTTAGGCATTAGTAATTATTTTTATAAAAGAATAAATAATGTTAAAAAAAAAAACCTACAACTTCAGTAGCGTTAAGTTACTTCATAAGTTCATATTTAGCTTGATTATTGTACTTATTAACGTATATAGACGATTAATTTAACTATTGAAAAAAGATGTTAGCCGATTGAATATGTCAAAAGTCTGAGTGTCTATCTCTATTTGTTCAAGCGAAATTTTTTTTCTTCTCTCAAGTACATTGTAATAACAGCTCATTTTGCCTTCGAGCTCTACATAATAATTAATCATAATTGTATGTGAGTTAGTGATTAGAGCAAAAATGAATGAAAGTTTTGTTTAAGAAATAAAAGCAAATGACATTTTTTTTTCTTCTTTTTTTTTTTTTTTTTTTAATAATATTCATATTATTCCTGAAAAGCTAATTTTGAGCTAGAAACGAGTTTGATGATTTAGATGTTCGTAGAAGAAGAAAAAAATAATTATATCTATATCAATTTCTTGATTGATAGTGACATTGTTTAACGAACATAAAAAGAACAAAAGCTGATTTACTACAAGTAATCATCATCTATATATAGAAGATAAGAGAAAGGAAATAGAAAATTAGAAGCATATGCGAAGTGAATGTATATATTCGATAACATTTTTCTTTATATATGACGACAGAAATGTGTTGATAGACAATTCATCCATACTCACCTGCCAATTGTATAAATATTAATCCCCATCGAATAGACCATATCCAACCGACAATAAGAAATATTGTTGCTATTTGTAATATAGCGGCTAAGATATTATAGAAAAATGCCAAAATATTCTTCTCATATTCATGTTTACCACAACAAAATACGGTAAAACTTGAAATTAATGTACCTTAAATTAAAAGAAAAAATAAATAAATAAAGATATTTGATCAAAAACAAATTTTAAAAAAGATGAACTGTCCAATAAAATATTATTTTCTCTAGTAGAAGAGCATATAAAAATGATGGCAACGTATGTGAAAATATAAACAATCAACATTCTCTCTTTACATCGTATTATGGTGACAACAATCAACCACAATGAAAATATAAAATTAATGTTCGACAAAAAACCAATAATAAGAAAAACAGCATTAATTTCTAGAAACTATTTGCACAACTCATTCAATCATATTATGAAGCTAGTTTAGAGAAAATTTAACTAAACCAAACATTGACAGCAGCGACTTATCAACAAAATTTTTTGCTCATTATAGTCTAAGTGCTTTTCATGAATCTTTTTGTTTATTTTTGACTCTCTATATATAAATATACGATGAAGATTTGCCACTAATAGAATTATTAAGGTCAACATTACTAATTTCTCAAGATAATTAAAAACAAACTTGAGGTGTCAAATTAACGATATAAAACATAAAAAATGTTAAATATATCAAGCATATTATTTTAGATTTTTAAATTTTTTATTATTAAAAAAATAAATATTAACAACACATTGTAATAAAACAATTTTAAATTTATTTTAATTTATTTAGCCTTAAGCTTTTCTCTCTATCATAGATCTTAACCATATTTAATAGAGTATAGATCGATCATTAATTTCCTTTTCTATCGAATATAATTATGAAATATTATTCCATAATGGAATGTCAATAAAATATTTTTCTTTTTCGAAATAAATGCGTGTAAATATTTTATATTAATGCATACGTTAGAAATAGACTGAGGCTGTACGTATATAATATTAATTTTATCGTTAATAGTCACATTAATTTAATTACAAGAGAAACGGATATGTATCATTATGTGGATAAGAAAAGAACTCGTTTTTTTTTTTTCGCTTGTTTTTTCATTAATCTCTAGAGTATTTTATTTTTATTTTTTTTTGTCGAGCGAACACCCGACAACGATAGGATAACAAAAACATCTATTTGTTTACGTGTAGAATAGTACTGATATTAGAATATTTTCTTTCGTTCATAAAAAAAAAAAATAATAAAAACAGACACTAGGCACTTTTTTTTTTTTTTACCAATGAAAAGTGATAGCGATATTTAACTCTATCAATTTTAGTATTGCAAAGAGATTAGAAAAAACAGTGGAAATATTAGCAAAATTATTATATATCCCATTCTTTTTCTTATTCTATTCAAATATGAAAATATTAGATGAAATCGATCATTTCCGCGATCTGATTTCAGCTATTTTCTATTCTTTAGATCTAATACCCGGTAGTTTGTGACAAGTGTAATAAAACGGTAATAGCCACGCCCTTCAAGTAAAATAATCATCTAGTCATATCCGATATAATTGTGAGAGAAAGATATACATTTTAAAGTGTACTAGGATATCGATCGGTAAGTTTTTATTAATATAAGAAAATTTTAATGTTTTTTTTTTTGTATGTTTGTTAGTTAACTAGTAGATTTTGTCAGACAAAAGCAATAACAATATATTTATTTCTAATTTGACACGCAATATATAAAATTTATAAATGCTTTTATCGCTTCTTCTTAAGACAAACATCGATTCAATTACATTCTTTTCAATTAAAACTGTGACAATTATTATGTGATTTTTCAATATAAATTGTAGTTATACCTTTTTTTGTTTTCATTCTTTTTTTCTACTCTACAATAAATTTCATTTATCTTCTTTTTCTTCTCTTTTGTTTTTTGTTGTTTTTAGAAAAACATCAAAGTTTCCAACTGTGTATAGTCAATTAATTGTGTTTTTTACTTCGCAATCATAGAATTGTTAGTTATTACAGTTGTGCACCACCAACAAAAAAAATAAATAGAAAGTGAGAGAGAGATCAAGTTGCTCGAGTGCATGCTTGAGAAGAAAAAAAAGGATTCTCTATTTTTTTTTTCAATAATGTAACGAACGGTGTTATTATCATTTTTTTGAGAACTTAGTGATGTAGAAAATACGTGTATGTTCAAAAGGAACTTTGTATTAGAATTGAAAAAGTTAGTCCAGAATATAACTGAATTCCGTTTGGTACAAAAGAATATCCCATTTTTAAAGGACATTAAAACACTTCCTGTTAATGAAACAATCATGCTATCTAACGACAGAATGATGTTTTGTTGATCAAACTGAAGAAAGTGACACCTGAAATCGAAACATTTAATTCTTAATTTAGTTTAAAATAGTCAAAAACGGAATAAAAGAGTGTACTTTTACCATTAATTACAAATACATTCATCCACACATTTACTCAAAATATTTTTTCTTACCTGTTCCGGGTAAAATAATATTGAGTATAAAACAAATAAATGCTAATTGACGTGGCATTGCCGGACAGGCACGTCGAAATGGTCCATGTTTTACTTTACTGACACTAACTGATGAGCGAACATTGGATGATACTGAAACGTGACTTCGTCGTTGAGTTTTATTTGGTTCAGGTGTTAATGATCGATGATTTCCTTCAACAACAATATGCTGTTGTGGATTATACTTATTAGAAGTGACGTGATGCGAATCGATAATATCTTTCATTTTTTTTTTCTCGTTTTAAAAATCAATAGTTCATCGTCACTGAAGGCACCATGTCCATTGTTTGTGATCTGAAGAAAAAAAAAATAGACTTTTTTTTTACTGGGTAAAAAATTGTAGCATCTGGACGTACACAACCCTAGATGGATGTATTTCAAAGAATACATTCCATTTTCATTTCCACATCAAGCCTAATCAAGAGTTTTATACGTACTCGATAAATGTTCTATCATTATTAATAGAGAAAGAGGAAAAAGAAAAAAAAAGAAGAAATATATTATGGAATCCACTATATATATATATATACGATTTCTTTATCATATTCTACTCAACTCTACATCTATTTAAGAGAGTTAATTTTTTGTTTGATCGCTCTTCTGAAGGAAAAAGAAAAATAGAGAGAAAAAATCTATATAGAAAAGAGAAAAAAAAAAAAAAGAAGAAAATTCTTTAAAGGGGCTTCCCATCTCAGTGTGATACACGTGAAACAAAAATTATCTAAGAACTCTATAGCATACTGAGAAATCATCTTTCTCAGAAACTTATACATATATAATGAATGATATTTGTCTTTTTTATCATATATACTTTGTCTCTTCTTTGGTTGAAAAAACAAAAAAAAACAAAAAAAAAACACAAGTAGCTGGCTAGCAAATACAAATAACGACTAAATCGAAGTAGAACTACGATATACATACATATATTATACCATCACTATAGAAAAAAAATATATATTTTTGTTATTTTCCTATTTATCAACTATTTTGCTTGTATTAATTATGGCATTAATAAGATTTAGAAAATGTATCGTCAAATCGTCCATATTTCATATCATACTGCAACTCGTTTACATCATATAGTTAATAGGGCAAAACGTATAGATGATAATATTACTTTCTCAATAAATATGCAAACTTGTCGTTCTAATTTATCTTAGAGATGTGATAGATAAAAAAAAAAAAAAAAAAAAAAAAACCGAAAATAATTATCTTATTTAAAAATGAGTAAAAAATTTTATTTTTTGTAAAATTTTTTAAATGAACTAAAAAATTAAAATTAATTTTAATGTATTATTGGTGCTTTAATGAATAGATAACATTAATTCTAAATCTTTTTTTAGTGCAAGTTTACCTTTTGTATTAAATGTCATGAAATTTGGCATCAAGGTCTTCCATGTCTAGATGGAGGGTATGTTTCATTTTATATTTCTTACTTTATAATCTGAGTA